TATTTTTCATTAGTTGAAAATCTCCCTGATCTTAGAATTAACAATCAAAGCATTCCCAAATCTGCATCTGTTAAATACCTTGGTGTCACCCTTCCCCCATAACCTGTTCTGGTCTGCTCATGTCATCAACGTTTTCACAAAAGTTCGAAAACTGTCCTTCTATGCTTACAGGCTCAGGAAACTGGCCGTACCACAATCTTATTATTGAATTTGTGATTGCCTGCATTCTTCCACACTGGCTATACTGTTCCCCAATTTTTATCCCTGGACTGAAAGAAAAAGACCTCTTTATTTTCAAGATCCCTTGAACTTTTGTCCCGCTACAGTGGAGTTGATAAAACTGTTTTAGTTGATTTCTTTATTTCCAAGCATCTTGACGCTTGTAATACATTCATTGACGGGATGACGCGTGATCAAGGGCACTGTCTGCACCAAGATATCGCAAAAGCCCTGTCAATTCCTCGGACACACTCCAAATACCAGCTCATTCCTGCGCGGACTTCCACATATCGAAACGGTGTAATTCCGTACCTAGCTCGTTTACTAGTAAATCGTCAGCATATTCTCAGCCACCTTAGGGAAAATCTCTTGCCCTAATTTTTCTCTTATTTATTAAAATGCAGAATTTCTTATACCGTATTTTTTGTTTACAACTATTTTACCTATCCACTGTAAAACTCATAAACTGCTGAAAATTCACTTTTTGGGTGCATAAAGCTTTTCTTGACTGAGTGACAGTATTGTTCAACTATGTAATTATTGAGTAAGGAAACAGGTCCTCGAGCGCTTTCATGAGGTGGAGCTCAAAACGGTGTTCAGAATAAGAGAGCGAAATGTGGGCCACCTAAAGATTGCATCACGTCTCTCTTGAATTTCGGAGGATTCGTCGGGGCATGAACGTTTACGGCCAAGTGCTACATCGTTGGTGTAGTTACGTCCAATGAATGAAAAAGGAATAGAAAGTTTACTAACACAATGTGAAGAAAACTGAGGAACGAATGACACCCCTGATTTGAAAGTGCCATACGCAGAACACTTATTGTGATATACTGTGTGAAGTGAGTACGATGAGTGGAATAATCATGCATGATTTGGATTGGCACCTTTTTCCTGAAAGCATATTTAGCAAAATGGGTAGATGACAACCAAGCCATTTCAGGAGCACGGTCTGATATTTTCCGTCGAGTACCGAGGCTGTGGAGTGCAGCAAGTATGCCACGACTTTCGGTGTGGAACGTGACTGTCTGTATGCTTAACGATATCTGCCATCTATCACAGATTCCAAACTCATCTTGGGTAGTAGAAGTCTCTTAAGTATCCTTAAAATCACGGATGTGAAGGTTATCTGGCAGTACTTTCCAGGTTCCTGATTTGGGATGGGAGTCAATCGAGCGGGTCTCTAAATGTCAAGAATCTTACCACTGGGCAAATAAAAGTTAAAAGTATCTGTTAAAAAGAACATCAGGGAATCAGGACTCTACTTAAATATATTGGGAGACAGAAAGGTCGTCAGGACTGATCGGAATTGCCAATTTAAATTTTTGTTCCAATTGCGCCTTCAATTATAACCAGTTTGTTCAATATTTGTAAACCAGCGCTTTTCTGATGATTTAGGAACATTTGTAGGCTCCAGTCTTCGATAAATAGGTGCCAAAGATGGGTATACACGATTCTGTTTTCAATACCTATTTCCCTGATCCGATTTCATCGTCGTATTGTTGCTGTTCGGATGAATATTTTCATTTTTGCCATAGTTTTGGTTTTCACATTTCGCATAACCCATAACTGTGGGATGTGTTATACAGAGAGCAAACTGGAGATGAATAGTTTTTGTCGCGGATGTTCAGTGCCGAATTCTGTTCATTTTCCTTACCACGCACTCTGCCAATAAAACAGGTGTCGCCAAACGACCACAGTCCGCGGTGACTCAGAGTTCTCGGCGTTTGACGTGTCCATCCTCGTATCCATCTGAACTGAATACCTCAGTTCCTCTGAGATCAGAACATTCCAAAACTCTTGATAGCACCTCCGCAGTTCATCAACCGGACACCAACGTTGTATCGCAGTCCACCACCCTGGCAGGTGAAAGACCACCCCCGGGTCGTAACACCAGTCCAAACGGGAGTTTAAAAGTGACCTCGTGGGATGCATTGCCCATATTTTGTGTACATTTAAAACAATTTGATTTGAATTTGTACATGGGCAGTGCGATGGGTCTGACCAGGTTAGTTTTTTTCTCACTCAACGAGCTATATCACGTCCAGTTCGGGGTTTTGTGCTAAGCTTTTTGATCGCGTCGTCAGCAAGCATTTCAGTGCATTTTGGTAGAGTACTAGGAATCTTGTTTACTCAGGGCTTTGTTTTTTTCGTTCTGATTCATTTTGGAAATTGTATGTTGCTGTCAAAACCGAAGCAGTTTCGGAGTTAGAAAAGCTGAAACCTACTTTTGTGAAAATGTGCTGCAGACTTCATCGACACAACCAGCTGATGAAGAGGTTGGTGTTGAGACATCTAAAGGAGTTGCAATGAAATACAGACCTCCGTGCAGGAATTGTGATCACATATATTGGTAGGAATATATGGCATGCCTATCGTCCTTCTGGATGATAACGATAAGTTCTGAATAATTAACGGAGAAAAAAAACGGAATAAGTTGACAACAATTTTAAGGATTTAGGATGTCTTGAATAAGAGTCAGATAGATGTGGTCGTCTTTGAGCGCATACATCCAACGAGAATTCCT